ATTTCTAACTATTGGTTGGCAAGGTGAAAGCTGACACTCAGCTCGACAAACTGAAGTGTAGGATTGGTTCTGTTTGGACTTTAAAGTGCAAGGGGTTGATTTTTGTATGCGAGGAGATGACCAATGTACCAGACGTCTTCTGTTGTAGGTTAGATGTGTCTGAGTGCCTGTTGTCGTTCTTTCCAAATAAATCCTGTTCGAGAGAAATTATCGCCAGTTTTAATAACAGAGGGCTCATTTTGTGGGTTCTTGGGAGTAAACCTTCCAAAGACGGATAGTGAATGAACTTCCCAAGCTTATTCGTTTCTTTTCCAGGAACGACACAAAATGTGCTTCGTGTATATTACCCGGTGCAGCCAGCAGATCCACACTTTTTACATAATACACATGATAAATATAATGCGTACTATCACACATGATAATTGATTGGTTCTGTTTGGACTTTAAAGTGCAAATAGTTGGTCTTATATGTGAGGAGATGACTAATGTACCAAACGTTTTCTGTTCCAGGTTAGATGTGTCTGAGTGTAAGAGTTGGCCTGTTTTCTTTCTGGTCTTCTGGACTAGTGTAGCGTCTTCTGTTGTAGGTTAGATGTGTCTGAGTGCCTGTTGTCGTTCTTTCCAAATAAATCCTGTTCGAGAGAAATTATCGCCAGTTTTATCAACAGATGGCTCGTTTCGTGGGTTCTTGGGAGTAACCTCTCCAAAGAGGGGTACTGTTTTCATGAAGCAAACCGACGAATGAAGTCAGCTTGCCGACTGAATGAACTTTCCAAGCTTATTCGTTTTTTTCCCAGGAACGATACAAAATGTGCTTCGTGTATATTACCCGGCGCAGCCAGCAGATCCACATTTTTTACGTAATACACATGATAAATATAATGCATACTATCACACATGATAATGCATACTAAAGTACATAATAAAATGTATAATTTGTACATAAAAATTGTTGTATATAGTAATTCTATCCTCTCAGGCTATTTTACCCTTATTCGCATACCCCAACAAAAATATCGCTCAACACTTGGCGAGTTTATTCTAAGCATCCGGAAGAGGGATAAAAGTACTCCTAACACCTCCCCTTCCGATATATTTCCTACTCTGAAGTTAACCACTGGGCGCACGGTACGACATGTGTTCTTATTGGACTGTGTCAGAACAGCTCATTAATGTCCTTATCGGACAAGACTGCACCATGAACTTTGCTCATTTGACCCAGAGCACAAAGTATTTATCATTTTGTACGCGTTACCTTCACCGTGATGATAAGACCTGGGTTCTGTTGTCTTCCCTCATCAGCTGGGTTGTTCAACTTGATGAACCGTTTTGTTGCCACAAAGGGGGTTGGTTCACCATGACAGAGTGAGCTTTTCTCGGGCAGTAGAACGACCGAATAAGACCTAGCCATTTTGCCAATCGCCGAAAACTACACAACAGTTGTAGTCACTTACAATACGTTCCCAAATTGCCGATTCGAAGAAGTCCCACCGCCTCCGGGTAAACACAAGGCATCTATATTAAAATCTCTTGTTTTGTTTCGCCAGAAAAATGACTAATGTGTCTATTAGTCAAAACAAACAAACAAAGGGAACATCAGGCTAACCAGTATGGAATCTTCAGTCTGTGCGCTTCGGAAGTGGGGCCATAAAATGGTAAATGGCGCATGAGTTGAATAATTTATGGTGCATTTTTAGGCATTGTTTGGCAGTGATATCCGTTTGGGTACAGAAATATCCTCAACCACCCACTTACAGAGGGTCCTAATGTTTTGAACAAGGGTCTAGCAATGAATGCCGTTTTTCCTGGACATTGTTGTATACTGTTTTCAATAGTTTCTTTTAGCGTTAGCAGGAAAGAGGGTAAAGTTCTATAACAAAGACTACTTACTCACTCGAAACAGTAGCGAATAGTCGCCCAAGCGTCTAGATTGATGACTCGCGAAGAGTGGTGCTTTTCTGTTGGCCTTTCAAGTTGGAAAAGAAACTTGTGGAAATCTGTCGGCAGAAGTTAGCGGGACTAGTTACAGTGATGCTTCCCTACAGGTGAATATCTGCTGTCTTTTCTCAAAATAAGCTTCCCCGAAAGATGTGAGAGCAGCTTCTTGAATTGTGACTTTCCGTCAGAGCTTATAGTTGCCATTGGTTGCTTCGGTTTCACTTTCCCTAAAAGGTCGCGGCTCCTTTTATCCTTGTCATGCTCTCTGATTGGTTTCGTGATTCAAATGGTTTTGGTATCAAATCATTTCGAGTGTTTACTTCGCTGTCTTTGTGTGGCCACTCATGCCAGATGCTGAATCTTGGTGTTATAAAACATCGAATTTTTAAAGGAAAAGTGTTCTACCATGAACGTGTCATCACAATATACACGATGACCGCCTCAGGAGAAAGGGTCTTTGAATTATCTTGAGTTTTGTCTGGTGTTGAATCTCTGATTTGTACTGGCGTCAAGGGTTTGCACCTATCCTCCCACAAAACTGATGGGTAAGGTGTGTGTGTCTGCAATGGAAACTATTGGTTGTTTGATTTGATCAGTGTTCACCTCGTAGAATGCCTTCTAAGAAATAGGCAGTAATCAATTGCCATTCTTCCGTAGGGAAGTTGTGGTCAGGTGCTCAGTCGCATCGGACGTGCCTCCATTATTGGGACTCACCGGATAAAGCTTCGCTATAATTCCCGGTCGACAAAAACCCAGCATGGTCGGGCCACTCGGATTCCAACCATGGATTCATTTCTGACTTCCAGCTAAATTCAGATCTCGTGTCTTGGTAACTCCTGTAATTTCCGTGAGGGTTGATGACTAGTCAGTCGATGGCTGTTTGGAGCGAGGCTACCATCTTAGCCGTATTTTTTTCTCAAAAATTATCGGGCATTTCGACTGGCAACTTAGCAGTAGGTTAAATTTAGCGATTCCATTCTCGGGTGGAGCTTCAAATAAATACGAACAGAACTAAGTCGCTTGAACTGTCTCGTCTCGAGCGTTGTAAAGTTGTCATTTGCGTTTGATCACGTGAAGCAAATACATTATGCATATTGGTGCGAATATTCGGTGGATTGTCCTGCGACGGGCAGTTTCTTGGATCATGAAATTCTCACCTGTAAAGCTGATAAACGTATAGTTCCTTCTGGGTGGTACTTTGGGCCCATGTTTGTGTCAACTTGTGATACTTAGACCAAATTCAGGGAATGCCTTATCGGAGCCCGGAGACCCAGTTGATTCTTCTAGAAAATGGCTGGAAAGAAACTCTTCTTAGAGTTGGTTACCGCTGATAGCATCCAAATAACTTTGCAAAATTTTCATTGCAACGTATATGAGTGCTTCCCCGTACACTTCCAGGCTCTTCCACGTAAACCGCCTAGTTCTCTGATATATTCAAAATCAAAATTTCACCAGGTAAGACTCAATTTAAGGAAAGGATAGTGAGCTGCTAAAGATAGTTTGCTAAACTCATCAGTGTCAAGTATCAATATGTCTTTGTTTTGTTTGACCACTGAGAAATCTCCGTTCCGTAGGATTGGCATAAATCATATACTAAATTCGGTATCTTTTTGGCTTGTATATGAATAAATACACACTGACGAACATTACTGTTCCGGGGATCTCGTCGTTAGGTCAGTACACGTCTCACAGGAAGGTGAGTAGGTGATGGCTTACTGGTTTACTGTGAGTAGTGTTGCGTGTTTGCCGAACCCACATCCAGTTGCTTTGGTTTTCCGGTAGAATGCGGACCAATCCATTTCTCAAACCCAGACAAGCAACGGTGTGTGTGTGTGTGTGTGTGTGTGTGTGTGTGAATACTTGGTGTATGACTGTCTCAAATCGCTGATGTCTCTCTACTCATGTTCGCATCTGAGGCGAAGGCAGCCGTTCACAGGCAGACGTATGTTCAATGCTTTCATACTGCTCTGTGAAGTCATAACCTGACAACCATTGATTGACTGGTTTATATCATGAAGACACCTGGGAGAATAGGGCTTTGAAAAGTAAACACGACGGGCGGAAATCTTGTGTATCCAGTGGATAGTCTAGAAGATTAAGTGCAGTACGATGGATGGATGTGTGGACACTAGAAGAACCGCGAAATACTTTGGGTCATGCACCAGCCACTTTGAGTCTGTTTCTAACTGGATCGACCAAGTATTCTGCAGACTAAGCCGCAAAAAAGGTGGGTCAGGCTTCGGAAGTGGATGGATATTGGAGAAGGCTCGCTTAACTACTTGAAGTTTTCTCAAGTTTCTTATTGCTTGCATGTTTTTGGTTAGTTCATGAAGGCAGGCAGTAATGAACATAGCGTACGGGTCACCCTGTGTGCTTTACACGTGATAGCGGGATTATGTATCAATCAAAGATGGATTATGATTGAAGCACTTGTTTTTTTCTTCCAAAGAGTGTCAGTCAACACAGGTGGTTTTTTTAGATTTCGAGAACGGGATTCGCTTTCTTATCACCACGATGGGCACTACACTGATCAGACTACGTGGTATGGTTAAAACCACGAGCAATAGGGTGACTGAGAACATATATGGAGCGATTTATTGAACTGAAAGTCTTTTGCTCCACGACCTTACTCATGACGAGCAATCGACGGGCGAGCTCTGTGTTCCGAACATATATCTAGGGGAGAATCAAGGTCAAATTTCGCTACATTCACTGTCGGCCGAGGTTTCTTCTTCTGAATGGGCTATTTAACACCTAAGCTAAGGTCGATGCTCCTACACTTTGAAAACGCTTGCATGTGTTACTCATGGATACCTGTAGAACCAAGTCAAATATATTATCCGTTTCTTATCAGTTACATTAGAAAATAATTCTCACTGCTATTGCAGTGGGAGAAGCAGTTGCATTGAGCCACGTCCTCATGAGGCCCTGTTTAAAAAACTATTGATCAAAATCTCAAAATGATTCGATGCTTTCCAAGAGTAACAGAAGGTCTCCGGCGTGATCCTCGAACGCTGCATACAATTCAGATGAAGTGCCTCTGGGGCACTTCAGTCTTCTACTGATTTGCTGTGACAGTTATTATGAAATGTTTTACAGAATCTCCAAAATCCCTGAAGTTGATTTTACAGAGCGGAATGAATGCTACGTCAGGGAAAAACACAAACACTGAATCAGGGCGATTAAGGCTAAACTTCAACTTTATGCTGCTGATCACCCAGATGTCAGATTTACGAGTGCATCTTGTCAGAAAATCCCCAGGAATCTGTTGGCATATCTTTTCAAACAAGTTATGGGGCTAAATCGAAGTCATATCCTTTTGAGAGCGCGACAGATTGGGGGAAAACACTCATTTACACACTCATTTGGTTTAAACGAGAGACTCATTCTAATCCCCTGCTGAATACCTCGTTTATGGTATTTCTCCAGTAAAGGTGATGCACAGAGGCCACCCCTTTTTAAGTTGGTACGATATTCGAGATATTGCAGTATATTTTCTTAAAGGAAACTACTTATAGGTCGAACAATTTTCAACAAATTAACGAGTCGTATCCTTTAAGAACAGATACGTTGACAGACGTAATACACTACTCGGAAGATTGCTGAAAATTCCTCGACAGCCCACGACCGGTTTCGTTCTTCTTAGGGCTGATCAGATAGGCACAGTCCCTGAGTTACCGTCAACCTTATGTTCTACTTGAACCCAAATTGCACTGTTTTCGAGGAATACACTCATTTGCAAACCAATTTGGTTTTGCGGGAGACTCACCTGGGAACCGGCTGAATTTCTCGTTTATGGTGTTTTCAAGCAACTGAATGTGCTGCGCCATGTTTTAGTCGGTACGATATTCACTTTATCGCGATACATGCATAGACGAAATACACTACTCATAGGGTTGCTGAAAACTTTTTGGCAGCCGACAACCGATTTCGCTCTTCTCGATTGAAAACATCATAAACGAGAGATTCAGCTGGGTTCCAAGTAGTTTCCCGGCTTCTCGATTGAAAACATCATAAACGAGAGATTCAGCTGGGTTCCAAGTGAGTTTCCCGGAAAACCATACCTGTTTGTAAGACACACATTGATATTATTTCATTTCTTGTATTCCACCTGTTCAGCACGTGCGCACACACGGTCATCCAAAACAGCCTACTTTCCCGACCGAAGCTTGCCGGGTACGGGACTGATTGGTCAAACTGATAGTTTATTCGATACTGTAAAATGGCGGATAACACACAAGCAGTATGGCCCGACGTCTATCGTTTGAATTATTTATGCGACCACGCAATTAAGAGGGCAAAAATTAAGGTCTTATTCCACGGTCATTTACAGTTTGGTGTGCTACTGACAGTCATCACCCCTTCGGTCCTCCGTCCCCACCCCGAAACGAATGCAGGAAGGCAAAAAGGCTCTGGAGTGGAAAAGCAGTTACCCCATTCTGAAAAAAAAGTTGTTTCAGCTGAACTCGGGGGGACGTGGTGCACATGACTGATCTGAGGCTGCCTACACATCCCTTAGTCATTTCTAGTTCACCACACAGACCGACAAAAATTCACGGTTCACATTGTCTTACTCGCGTGAATGCATCAAATCCAGTTGTGAGAAAACACACAGGACAGGCTGGAATCCATGCTGTGGGGGCTGGAACCGAATGACTAGCCTGAAGAATCTCGACACAGGTTTTATCTGGTTTTGTGTAGTGAACCGTAACGCGCTGGTTTTTACCGGATCAAAGGAACTACTTACAGTGTGAAAAACACTTACTTTTTGGAAGACGCTCGCACTTTTTGTCACATGTCTTGGTGGCCGATTCGGCCCGATTTCAGGGAGCGGTCAAGCGTGTTTGAAGCTTCAAGGATGACTTGTTGCAATGGTTTACTGCGTCTGTGCAAAATTCACTGATCGACAAAAAAACCGGGCGATTATTTTGAATCTCAACCAGGGGACTTGAACTTGTTTGGTTACTGGGATCACAAAGACTAGTTGTAGCCTCATTCAGTCGGTGACTGGTAACGATTTGATTAGCACTCATTAAATTTTTCCGTTACAGATTTGAATCATGAGGAATAGCTCTCAGAAGTGCAAGAGGGATGAGCAATTACCATACACTTGGGTTTATCGGCTTTAATTAGGCGCCCACCGTGTGTTCGGATCCGCCCGTGGAAATCGTCACTAATCGACATACGCCTCCAGGATGGCGTCTGCCTGAGATTCTCACTTAAAGAGGAGCCTGCATATTGTATGCTATCTGAATATTTTTTCGGTCTGTATGGTTTGGGGAGTGTAGATTTGTCTGATACGATATTGATGAAGCTCAGATATCCCGTGTGTGCATCTTCGTTACATTTCAGCCGGCTTGAAAACAAGTACAGTTCAAGTTGTCGCAGTTCCTGTTTTTCGGGTTTTATCTGACATCGAGTGCTTTTTGAATGACTTGTTTCTGCTTGAAGTGACCTCATCGCTCGCCAGAAAGTTTCTACATTCTGACGACAAATACGGTTAAAAACGTTGAAGCAATAACAGTTGAGCGTTGGTTCAGTGCATTGATAGCCTTTGCCGTCCACGATTAATCTGGTGTAAACAAATTCCGTCAGTCCGAAACGAACTGAGTAGTGATTACCAATTCACCGGTCTTCTGATAATCGCTCCGATTGATTGGCTTTGGTGAGTCAGCTGTTGTACAATCGATCAGAGTAGTTTAAACGTGAGTCATGTGACAAACACGCTTATAAGATGCCGCCCAAGGTCCCCTGGCGCAACCACATCTGGCCAATCAGAGCACCATGAGACTAGGTCATTGACGGTATACAATTATTTACTGACGATACAAATGAGCCGCGAATGGGTCCCTAAATAAATAATCAATAATGATAAATAATACCAATAAGTAGTATCAGAAATATCGTGACAAATCTGACGAACGTCTTTGATTTGGATGGTGGAAATAAACATGATGACTACTAATAGTACGCATGACTGGGTGAAAAGATAACGTTTTGGCAAACTAGCGTCTCATTAAAAACAGTGAATCCAACATTCTACATTCATTTAAAGTGCTACAGATGTGAGAGCAGCAGGAACGAAGTTGCGTCCTCATGTATTCACATCGGGAAACATTTTATGTGAATGATCTGCTGTCATGTTCTTCTCGACTTATTATTGGTCGTTTTCGACGCAATGATTGCCTCTTTGATGAACGTCAAGCTTCGATGTCCAAATCTCCCACGTCGGTGAATAATTCATTTATTACTTTACCATATTCGCAGTTTATCAAATCCCTTTGACTGCATCATGAAACACACTTTACTGGATCTTAGACGACATGAGCAGGTTACCTTTTTCATCGACGATCAAGGGTCAGGCTAATGAGGATCGCACACCTTGATTCATCGTCCTGCGAACTGATTTCTGCGGCGATGCGTGTTAGAACAAATGGTTGCATTCTGCTTTCTGGGTTCAGTCTACTCAACGTCACTTTAGTGACTTTTCGAGACTCAGTCCTACAGAGAAATCTGGTTCAGTTTGGTGACGAAGAACGAATTAGGCAAGACATTCCCATATATATATATATATATATATATATATTCTATAAAGTACCCATGAACACGCAGAATGCACCGTTTTGCATGCAGAAATAATCTACGAGGATTATGTCCCGTGTAAATTCAGTCAAGGCTATGAATAACTGCTGACCCATGACGCGAGATAGCCTAGCAGTTAGGGTGGGCATTCAATGATAGGAATATTCCTGGTCCTAACCGCCCCCGGACTTCTCGACCGATCCTGACTAGGCTTGGTCGTATCCAAGCCCTCGGGCCTCCTTCGGGTGGCATGACAGCTACGCATCAAAAGTGTTAAAGAGGCATGGTTTCATTCATATAAATATCTACTAATATCTTTACTACTGACCCCAATAAGTGTAGCTCAGAAGTGAGCGATGCTCAATAGATTCGGCAGTTTCTGATGGCCTTTGATCCTTTCGAAAACCTACTGAGAGGTTATCTCTTTAACCGACTGACTAATGAATTTTGGTGTACGCTAACTGGCCAACAACACGTTTTGTGTTTCTGTGTCAGATTTCTCCCCCAAAACCAAAAGTGGTTTGCTATGTGCAAGACGGATGGCACCACAAACCCTCACAGGTAAGGCTACCTGTATCTCAGGCACTGTTATATTTCATAGGAATAATGAATGACCAAATCATTTTTTAATCGGAACAGTTTTTGTTTGAGTAGTATGGCGTAGATTCGGCCAGCGCTGCTACAAACAGGGGATCTATTTTGCCTCTACCAAGGAATGGCTTGTCATCCCATGGCTTCCCGTCAAATCATGACCGACGGAGAGCGATGTTATGGCCTCTCATAGGAGCAGCTTTTGCTCGTTTGAATTCAGAAAATCCTTTCGGTATTATCTAATGACCTTGATGGATCATGTGACAAACTGTTCCGTTTTGTCGTGTTGTCAGGCGATGTTTACTACCCTTGATGATTGTCAATCCGTAATACCTTGTTTTATTTCCATCTGTAGTCGTCGCTCAACTACAATTTACCGTCCTCTTTAAAGTCTGTGTTATGGGGAAGACCAGACGATCACCTTCCAGCTCACACAGCTTCCTCTTTCGACCAATCGCATACCCTGGAATCCCTTCGACCTTGGTATCCATCAATACCGGATCCGCGTGCGTGTGGCAAAGACGATGGATTTTCAAAAAATTTCTGCTATGACTCAGGCGGTCGTTTGTTTTACACTGATGACAGGCAACATGAGGAATCCTCACCAAAAGAATCCGCCCTTGTTCTTCACAGTCGGCACACTCCACCACTGCTCGGCCAACATCCATCAAGCGCAACGGTCAATGAGATGGTTCCCGTTGCAGATATGCCAAAATTATTGGACGACAGTGACTCACCCAGTGATTTCAGTTTACAAAATCGATCAGAAACCGAGGTTTTGGATACAGTTATCGAGCCAACCACTCAATCAGTACGTCAGATTGTCGAACAACAACGACAAAGTGCGGATTCGAATTATAGTTTAGATGACAAATCTCCTTATCTGAAGCAGCTGTTTTGTGCCAGAGCCTTGTTCTCTGGCACACGCGTATCACAGGCTGATTATCCCAGTTTTTCGAGCTACAGTGATGCTGAACAGAAAAAATCTTGGTCTTATCCTCAGTACAGAGATGACGTAGTACTACCACAAACAGAAGCGAACGGAACTCATACTACCACTGTCCCTCACGATATTTCGCTGAGGTCATTCCAAAACTCCATAAGAGACGTAGAGCCAAATGATCCAATCACCCGACCATCAGGACTATCACATGGTACAGTTCCTGTGACTACTGTTCCCCAGGTGGGCACAATTGGACGACCCCTCACTGGTGTATATTGCCCTCCTGCTGTCGGGGGTCCACAGTGCACCAACCGACTTCCACGTCCGTATGAACCTAGACAGTATGGTGGAGCTCCACGACCAACCTACAACTCACTGACAAATCCTTTCATTCCACCAACGCACGGCCTTCCCCAGCCAGGCTATCATCCTGCATTTGGGAACTTGAGAAATTTCGGACCATCTGGATTTTCTCATCATGGACATGGCAGGTAAACAGTTTGTTTTTTTGCCTTCACATTATGCTACCTTCCGCTACCCAGATTTCCTCACGGCAAGTATTTGTTGTAAGATTGATTGCTAAAAAATGCCATCTCCTTTGCCAATTACATTTCAGAGTTGGCACAAAAGTTGCGGTGCACGGTAGACCCATCCACACTCCTCACGAATATACAATCATGAAGCAGAACTTTCGCTCTTTTAGAGTAGCTTGCCATGCACTTTGGAGATAGTTTTCAGCTTGCTGAAGAGACTTCATTGTATGGGCTAACCAGAAATGACGTTTTGAAATGTCTTGACTACAAGTTGGTACATACCTTGGTGCGGTGGGCCAACCCTGAAATGACGTTTTGAAATGTCTTGCATACAAGATGGTACTTACCTTGGTGCGGCGACAGGGCTGAAATCTGTCAGCCATGGAGTAAGAACGTTATAGTCCGTCAGCTTTTCAGAAGGCGATCCTCCTTGAAGATTTATTTTGTTTATTTCTAAAAAGTCTAGTCAAGTACATTTGGTCAGGTGGCTTAGGTATTCGGGCTCCCCAAGTTGTTTCTGCTTCTGAAACGTTCATATCTCCCACCTGGGTTTGCAGACTTGTCTATAGATTGTGGTAGCGTGAGTACACATCTCTGACAGACACAGCTGTTAGAGAGTTAAAAAAAACTGCTAAGGATGGAACTGAACCAAAAACGTCCGGCGAAACTGAAGCATGCTTCAGTGGCTAAGCCATCCGGGTCGCTTGTTGTCCGTGGAACTCTTGGGTTTGAACTTAACCGTTCATACGTCTCAGCGCTGCCTAATGGATTAAAAGGTGATATCTGTCAGCGCAGCTTCTGAGACCCAGGTGTAATTACCGCAGTAAACAGACGCTGAAGTCATCCAACTACGAAAAAGGCTTTGATGTGGACGTTGTAAAATGGACTCTGTGATAACGCCACGACGCTAGTACTCGATTAGGCAGAGGGGCGGTGAATGACCTAGTCGCCTAAGGAGAGCAAACAGCCTCGGTTGCACAGTCCGCAGAACACCAGTGGGCAAGTGATGATTCAAACGCATCCTCAGGTGCGTCTTTTCGCTTATGCATAGACATACGCACGCACGCACGCACGCACACACACACAGCACACGTACACAATTCAGTGTGTTCCTTCGAATGTGATACCGCCCAAACCAACAGACCTAAACTGCTTAATTGAAACAGTGACTTACAAAACCAGAGTTTTTTTCACGAGATCTTGGTTCCGTTTGCAACCTCCTAGTTATGTTTCCACCTTACGGATACGGTGACTAGACTCCAACTCCCCAAACTAAGTTCACCCAAAAAAGTCCCCTGTGAGTGATCCTTTTGGTTAGCCCATTGTTCACGTGACAATTTTTGACGATGCACTCGTTTTCATCTTTCACAGTTTCGGCTACGGTTTGGACGGCACCAGAAGAAAAAACGCCACACGAGAGAGCACAACCACGCTGAAAGTTTGGCTTCAGGAACACATAAAAAATCCCTATCCCACAAAAGGTGAAAAGATTATGCTCGCCATCATCACCAAGATGACCTTGACACAGGTGAGCTGAAACGTGCAATAGGGAATGTTCGCATTGTGTCATCGAATAAAGATCAGGATTAAGCCGATAACGTTTGTCTAACTCTGGAACCTTTTAGAGGGTAGTTTTAGAAAGTAACAACTTGTCTTTGGGCATACATTTATCAGATGGGATTTTGGTCTTGTGCCATCACAGGTACAGTCGATCGATACCAGTGCAATTTAAATGTGCCTATCGCTAACCAAACTGAGCAAGAATACTCTTTGTTGTTTCCTTTTAACAACAAAAGGGACGGAAGACTCTGTAAAATTCTGGCCATTGTTGTCACACGCAGTGACCTTTAGCAGAGTTTAATTCGAAGCTTCTTTGCAAATTGGTATCAGACGGCTTTATGGGCATACGCATTGCTTTCCATGAGTCCTACCCAATCAAATCCAATTTAACGAGATTGGGAATCAGCGCTATGTCCCTGTTTATTCTGATTTTTTCGAAGATTGATTTAGCCATTTCTTTGCCTGCTGATCCTGTAATATTACTGGATATTTGGGGGTAAATGTCCAACCAGATCCCGAAAAATTCCGAAAATTTTCGTGAGTGCTTTCATCTTTATTGATCTCCATGAGGTAAGCTTACGCAGGTCGATCATGCAACCGTTGGACTAACAGTTTCATGCTGTTATTTCTGAACCGCGACTTTGAGACTATCCATCTGATGGTGAATTGAATCAATCCACAGCTGGTCAGACACCGAAAAGTTAGCTCGATCCCTGCTCGAAACTAGTTGATGGAAGGACGTCCGAGTTGTCGATCAAGGTATACTGTGTCTGATTCCTGTCTGCCTCTAGTTGTTAAGTCCGAATGGAGGCGAAATCGATCGTGGCTGAACTTTTCGGGGTCCGACTACATCCTTAAACAGCCTAAATGCTAAGCATGCGGTTGACGCTAAAGTAAGCTTAGTATGTTGGACTGGTGTGGATGGGGCTCACTAAAACCTATCTAGAAGGCCTTCCAGATCTTTGTCCGGGAAGCTTGCATCTACAATTTGTTGATGGCTACGCTTGAGAAGCTGTTACTGCTCAGAGAGTCTGTTCGGTTTTTCGGCTCAAAACGGAAAATTCGTTGGCTTAATCCCTTACCTCATTTACTCGGGAATTTGTCGATGACATTATCTCGTTTGCTCATGGCCTTCCAAAACCATTCCCCACTATAGGTTTCCACATGGTTCGCCAACGCAAGACGTCGGTTAAAAAAGGAGAACAAAATGACTTGGCCGCCAAAAACCAACACGAATACAAGTCGAGCGAGTCCCAACGGTTCGCGTTATCCTTCGTCCAACACCGGATCCAGTGACAATCGAAAACATCACGAAGAGGACAGTAATCCAGATGCTACGAAGGAGATGACAGTAGATGAAGATGATGAGGATGACGAAGATGAGGCAGAAGGGTCCGATTTGGTTGACGATGATGACGAGGATGATGATGATGCGGAGAATGGTGTGGAAGGAGGGAATAGCAGTGTGTCTCGTCCCGGTGAAAATAATTTACCTGGATTGAGAAATATGAACATTCCTGATACATTTAGTTATTCGTCGGCTTCCGAAAAATCATTCACAAACTTGCGAGGACCATCCTCGGAAACAACATCTCCCGGATTTTCTGTAAATAATCCATACTACGGTTTGGAAACGCGAAATCAGCTGGCATTTGTGTCTGCATCCGCGCTGATAGATAATGACAGAACGTGTATGCAACTGCCCACTCCTAACATGGATGGTACTCCCCACGTAAGGAATGCCACCTCTCCTCCGCACCATCATTCGATAACCTTACAAGCCTCTCCGCAAAAAGATCGCCTTGACCTGTACAACACGTCTACAGCGTTTACACCCCGGCCCATTGAATATATGTCGGCTAACCTTGCTTATCCTGCCCCATTCAATTCCATGAACGCCAATCGATCAGTTCCGTTCCCCAATGTCCCTCCAACTGATTTTGATCCCCTTCCAATAGCAAGAACATTCAAGCCACCATGTTCTTTCACACTATTTGACCAGTCCCGTTCAGCAACCGATACCTATTCTCAAACTTCTTCGCTGAAACGATTTCCGCACATGGACCCACCAGCTGCAGAAGTTGATGCGCATCACGCAGGATTGCCACAGAAACAGTCCACCACACCAGATTCTTCCTTGTATATTCCCTCCTTGCTCAATCCATTCTGACCCCCTGTGTATGATTCTGCGAGCCCAACCAGTGAGTTGTCTTCAAATTTTCCGAGGTCTGGTCGCAGCCCGATGTTCATAAACAAAGGGCTCGAGTCCATTCGATTCAGGACACCTGCTCTGTCACCTCGAGATGCAACACTGTCTATTCTACTGCACACTATCGGACAGGACCACGTTTGTACATTGCATTGAAAGGATAGTGTTCATTAGGTATCGTTTTTGTTTTTGATTGCATCAGTTAGACCAAGCGGTACTGGAAAGTTAACACATTTTAGCTCCACCATGGCTAGGGGGGAACCAAGGTTTAATGACAGGAAAATGTTTTATTTCACTGAGACCAACGGGCACTTTTTGTCTGATCTGAGCAACCGTACTGCACAAAATGGGTGGTCGACTCGTAGCCTGGAGTTCGTAATCTTGAACAACAGATGTGGGCTTTGTACGTTTGATTCTTCCGAGTTTCAGTGAAGAAAGAGAACACCTGTGGAGCTGAAGTTTTCTAAGTTCGACTTAAATAATCGACAAGACTGCGGGCCAATGGCCTCATAATGCTCACGTCCTAGGTCAGACAAACATTTTCTGATTATTTACTAGTAGACAGGTTACTGTTTGGATGAGTAACATCCCTTTAGACTAACGATCATACCTTGCTATTATTGCACTTCGTTAAGCCTAATTTTCGAACTCACGAGATTTGTTTCATCAGGCAGCATAGGTAAGGAGTGGCGCGATGAGACTTCAACTATCGCAAAGAACGGCTCATAAATCTAGTCGGCCAGCCAGGAAGTATTTTCATAAAGAAAACTACTCACAAGGTTGCTGAAAACTCTTCGACAGCCCACGACCGGTTTCGCCCTTCCGCTTAGGGCTCATCAGTTAGGCGCAGTCCCCGAGTTTATGTCAACCTTATGTTTTACTTGAACCCAACTTTGACTGTTTTCGATGAATGCACTCATATGCAAATCAATTCGATTTTCACGGGAGACTCAACTGAATCTTTCGTTTATGATATCGTACAAATGAATGTGCTGCACACAGACCGTCTCATGTTTCGTTTGGCACGATATTCGAGATATCTCAGTATATTTTCATAAAGGAAACTACACACAATGTTGTTGGAAACTCTTCGACAGCCCAAGACCGGTTTCGCCCTTCCACTTAGGGCTCATCAGGTAGGCGCAGTCCCCGAGTTTCCGTCAACCTTATGTTCTAATTGAACCCAATAAGTAAGCACACAGTAAATAGTTTACTGCAATTTCGCTCAAGCGAGTTGCTGACATACGGTTCTTGTTGAGTAGCACTCGATCACGTCAGTTCAGTCAATCGTAATTATGGCCTAGAGTTTGTTCCTCATTGAACTTTAAAACCTCAGACTTCCAATAAGAGACTCTGACGTGAAGAATTTTCAATAAAACCCGATCCATATCGACTGGGGCGACCGGGCATTCTTTTTCCGGTCAAAACAATCGGAAGTTGGCTTTCAAAAAACCGTCAGAATATGAAAACTAATCGCAACGTATACAACCGTATGTTCACAGCCAGTACTTAGGTAAAATGAGATGACTCTGGGTAAATGAGGAGATGAGGCCCCGGAATACCACTTCGACGACTTCGAGCTCACCTCCAGCGGTGCTTCCGAGACAGCTGCCACTTTATTCGGAACAAGGTGTACGAAGATACTTTTAACAAATTTTATATCGTCTAACATTACCGGTCGCAAAAAATGACTGGCGCAGAAGTGATGGGGAAAACGAATATCAATGGTTCCTTTCGAAGGCGAAGCGTAAGCTGACCGGTAATAGTCAAACCGTCTGGCAGCCCAAGTAAAGCTCCTTGTACTTTTAGCCCGAGAGAAGTAAACCCATGACAGTATTTACCTGTATCGGATGTTTTCAAGAATCCTGCTCATTCTGGGAAGTAATTCTAACGGTTAGCCTGACAATTGGATTCTGAATCAATCGGCAAATCAGACCTCTGAATGTATTAAATCATCGTTTTGCCCTAAAACAAATGGCTACTTAGATACCTGTTCTCCCTGGTACGTTAATTTCAATTTCATCCATTAGAAATGCTCGATTGTGCAAAGTAGACTAATCCACAGAGTGTAAGTGACAGCTCAAGGCAGCTCGGTGATTAAACCCGTGGTTCGACCCCAACCGCAGAACCTCGACTACTCTTGTCTTTACATGGGCAAGCTAACAGTAGCTCAGTCCCTGTGATTCCCTCGGGTGTCATGGCAGTTAGGCACTGAAAGTGCATTTCAATTGATTTAGCAATTATTGCACGTGACGCTCACAGAAGAATGCTGTTTGTTGCTCTTTGTGTCCAGACGTTTACCAGTGAAATGGTAACCTCAAATAAAGAAGGTTAAACGACAACACGCTATGAAGCACGTTCTAACTGCTAGTTAGCCGCTATTCCTGCAGATTCGTATGAAATGAAAAATATGTAACTATGGGAACAAAATAACTGGTTCAAATAGAGTAAGATACTGACGTTTTTCATGCGCCGAACGAGTTCAGAAATAAGCGCTTGATTAATTCACCTGATTGTGGCGGAAGACCCTTAGACGGTTCAAGACGCAGTCTACACTGACACGATCGAAGTGCTCAAGCTACCACTGGTCACATAAAACCGTGACTGTTCCTTCTAGGGAGGTATAGTTTTAGGTCGCAGACAATGGTCACTGGTGGAGGGTTATCGTACTGAGCTGAGAGTTTCTAAACTTACAGTGAGTTTCTGTCTCAGTCTAATTGGGAAACTTTGTCTTCTATCTGTACGAACATCCCCTAGTGTTTGAGTAAGCACAAGTTCGGAGTTCATGGATTTTTAAAGCGACCAGAGGACGCTCGTATCCCCAGTCGGGAATGGTTGATAACCTGCGTTACTCTAACGATATTTGAGAGATCGCTGTATATTTTCACAAAGGAAACTAGTCATAAGGTTGCTGGTAACTCTTAGATAACCCACGATTGGTTGCTTGAGGCTTATCAGGTAGAGGCAGTCCCCGAGTTCCGGTCAGCCTTGTGTTTTTACTTCGACCCAAACTGGACAGATACACTCATTTGCATATCAGTTTGATTTTCAGAGGAGACTCAGCTGAACCCCGCGTTTATGATGTTCTCAACTGAACGTGCTTCACTAGGTATCCCTAAGTTTCAACTGGTACGATAACCAAGATATCGCACTATATTGTACTACACTACTCATAAGGTTGCTGGAAACAGTCCACGAAAAAGTTTGGTGACAATCGAAAACGATGACTACCTAATCGGTTTCAAGTACTTTTCACATGATCGAACATAGCCCACGACCTATTTCGCTCTTTTTGATTGGGAACATTATCAGAAATCCCGCTGGGTTCCAGGCGAGTCTCTTGTCAAAACCAAATAGATATGTGAATGAGTGTCTGAGTCGAATCGTCTTCTAAGATTTTTCACCGCGTATTATACTGTGAACTAGCTTGTATCTTTGTGACCCCGATTAGGCTAACTAAGAGGCCTTTTGGAGCCTGACGACTAGATGTGGAGTGCACTTTCATAGCGTCAGTCCAATCGGTGTAAAAGTAAGCTCTTTTATCAACGCAGTTTCCCACGTCATCATAGCTTAGGAAGTACCCATCAAGCAATTCTATCCCTTCGGCTTCCTAGCAGACATGGTCATCCCACGTTTTAGACGAAACAATGAAAGTTCAACCCATGAACGTGCACCCTCAGGACGGAGGTCACACCGTAGCATTGCTGCCATTGAAAAGAAAAAGACCTTCGCTGCGGAGTCGCTTATTAGGAAATTCGAACGGTTACAGAACAGACCATTGGACAGGGAAGCAAAACTCTAATTTGCATCTTATTTACAAAAACTGGACATCCATCTTCTCCTGAACGCGTCTTCTTGAACTTTCCTGGATATTCACTGACTCCAATCATTCCTCGCTCAAATCTAAGTAAATGTTACGAAGCGACTCCACAAATTCCGCAACAGATTTCCTCTTTTCAAAAGATGCAAAGCGAAATTCCATGAAAAACATACTACTTGCGTGCCTCCCCATCAATATTATCACCGTTACACCATGACAAATAACCAAATCCTCCAAAATATGCTTACTAGTGTCTATTACACGGCCACCTGTCTTGAGTGATTATGGTGTGCGCAAAAACAGTTTCTAGTGCAAAGAATAATTTTCGTGAACTGACGCTGTCCTATGACGAGAGTAATCAAAACCGCGTGAATGGATTTGATAATGTATTGGTGTGGCTACACAATAAGTTACTTAACTAGGGTGTGTGGCAAAGAAATAAAAATAATAACGCTAGATTGGGTATACAATAATAAACAGGACACATGGAGCAGACTCACTGATGATTGTTTTCTTTAAAACAGTTCGTCGTTCGCCCAGGTCAGCGAATGAACAGTAGTCCAGTTATGGTGGTCCAGAGGTCTTCTTATAAACACACACATATGATAGATTCCGAAGATGGTCTGAAATGTTTTGCTACCAGAGTTAGCACATGAGACTCGCAAATGACCGCTGTAAGCGCGAGCGCAATCAGAAGAGAGAGTCGAAGCACGTGGCCACGTTTGTATTCTGTGAGATTGTGCGCGGTTTTTGTGGTTTTTCGAATTCAAACAAAAAACGATTGTGTAATTGACGAAATACGTAGTGTTATAATGAAAGCAAAATAAAGGTACAAAACGCCACACCATTTCACCCATTTGGCCTTGAGGTCATCCGGCCATTTCCAGCCGACTTTGCACGTGTGACTGTCGCACGTGGGAGCCTGTTTGTTCCTTTGGTTTGTACTTTTGTAGTCCAAGTGGACCATTTGTTTTGGACGAGTATCTACTGTCGAGGTCTGTATAATTTGTGAACTTGTCTTACATTAATAGTACCGTGTAGAAAGCCAGCTCCGACTTTGTTTTGCCTAGAGGTTCCGGGATTACGTGTCACTCGAAGATACCGTTCTTCTGTTACAATGACGGTCACTCAACGCGAAGTA